GAAGAAATCAATCCTGAAACTAAAGCCAAGATAGAAGAGGAAGCATATAACAAAGGGTGGGAATATTTTATGTGAATTAAATCTGTAAATATGTGCTACCAGATGAGGACACATGTTTTTATAATGTAATTTTAAATGTAAAATGATTGACGTAATCAATATGAGCTCCTAGAAGACAGTCATAATTGAAGGAATTTGGGAAACAATGTGAATAAGCTTCATATTTGCATCGTAGCTGTTCACTTTCATCTTTCATTAATGTTAGCCAAACTGTGGGAGAGCAGTTCTATCAGAGATTCAGAGCTGAGTGGGTGTTCTTATGTCAACAGTCTTCAGCTTCATGATAATCTAAAACAACATTCTAAAATGTTCATTCTGAAAAGTGTACCTGGAAATGAGTAAAGAGTAGGTATCCTCTTTTGTGGTAAACTCATGTCGTTTGTGTCACAAAGTGCTTTACACAGCATGTTTTAGGGCAATTAACAGCTTTGGGATCTGTTTCTGAATGTCAGGCAAAGAACACCGTACTATGTAAAGAGTGAGACAAAATTTTTTATCCTTTCCTGCAGAATCCCACAAGCCATCTATCTTTAGCATGTATTTGCACTTGTTCTCCAGGAAAATAAAATATCTAGAGGGTGTTGAAAATGATTGATAACTAATAGAGAAATACTTACCAACTCTTTTACAATAGACAAAAGTTGTGCTGTGCTGAGGACAGGAATCTCTTATTCGAGTGGGTGTTGGCCTCTTCTCCCAAGTTGATAATGACAGGACCAGAGGAAATGGTCTGAAGTTGTGGCAGGGGAGGTTTAGATTAGATATTCGGAAGGATTACTTTACTGAGAGAGTGGTCAGGCACTGAACAGCCTGCCCAGGGAGGTGGTGGAGTCACCATCCCTGGAGGGATTTAAGAAACATGTAGATGTGCACTTGAGGGCATGCTCTAGTGGCATGTTCTAGTGCTGAGATTGTAGGGGATTTTTGTGTGTGTGCAGTTGGACTCGGTGATCTCAGAGGTCCTTTCCAACCATGATGATTCTGTGATTTGGTAACAGAGGTAATAAAATCCTCTGTTAAAGAAAGGTGGCTCTCTGTGTGCCATACGTATGGTCTTTAGCTAGTTTTTACTCTTGTCTGGGTGCTACAACACTGCTACTTGTGTTTTATTGAATGTAACAAAAAAAGCTAGTATTTCATTACACAGGAACAGGCATATACAGCATGCTAGACTAAGAAAAGTGTTTTGTCTCTTAAAGCTATCAGGAAGGCTTGAAGAAAACCAAAGAACTTCAGGAACTGAAGGAAGAAGATGAAGAGACACCAAAAGAAAGTCATGATGAACATGAAGAAAGTGAAAATGAAGATGAGATAAAAACCCTGAAAAACAGGTGAGACAATGGTGTAATATGTCCATACAAGAGGTACCACTTTTTTCTATTTGTGGTACCCAACCAGGTATTTTATACTATTACCTTCACATGTTTTCTTCCAGTCCAGGGAAGCATATTTGAAATAACAGTATTTTCACAGAAAGGCATATTCCAAGATAACATAGTTGGAAAATGGAAATCTTTCTATTTTGATATTTCAACTAAAATAGCATATTGACATCAAGATCCTTCATCTTGATGGGATTTCGTTATGATTTGATATAAAAGTATTCCACAAAAGTTCTTTAGCTGCCAGAATGTATGACTCAGTAGGCATTCATTGTCTCTTAAACGTTGTAATTCAGGAATCTAATGCCCATATTTGTGCCATACGTCATTCCCAAAGGATCTGCACAGGTGAGCCTTTCAGTAAATCTACAGGATGAGTGCAGGTCAAGAAAAGCTCCTCAGCTATGATGGACTTGCTCTGACTTGGACAGGCAGGTGCCTACTCTCTCTGGAAGCTGTGTAGATGCAGCAGAACAGCACTGTGCTGGAGTTCCTACCTTTCAGCAGAGTTACACGTTTGCTGCATTCAGCTGTGTCCAATGCTCTGTCTGTACTAGGGGGATTCTGAATCCTCTGCTTATTGTCTTACCTGAAGCATTTAATGCCTAACTGGAAAACTTTTCTGAAATTTTCAGCTTTTCTTAGAGTTAATTATTGCATCTCCTTGGTGTTTCTACTACCCAATTCAATATACCTGCAGTTTCCTGGACTTAAAAAGCAAAGAGACTTTTGCATTAGAGATTAATTGAATGCTGGCCAAAGCAAGTAATATGTCCCATCACAAGCTAAGATAGGAATCCTTATGTGATCCAGAAGAATTAATTTCCAGTCCATAACCATTATGGTTGTAAACATCTTTTAATTTGAGATCTCAGCCATGTTCAGAGTGGCCACCATCTCAGTAGTCATGAAACTCTTAGGAAGAAATGCAGACTTTTACATCAGATCAATCTCTGAGATTTGCCAGTTGACAAGAGGGAGAAATAGAAGTCAAGTTTACAGTCTTCAGCCATCTTGCAAATATCACCCATATCTGAGTGTACAGGTCTGCTTAAAAGAATTGAGCTGTCTGATTCTTCTTTGACAGGGTGTTTGTTTCTGGAAGAAAGGTGGTGCACCCTACATCTATGAAGCTTTTCAAATTAAAAAGTTCAAGATAATAAATTTGCATCTGATTAATATATAACAGTTTTCTTTTAATTTTACAGCAGGCTTGAAGTCATCATTAATTATTTACATATACTGTACCCCAAACTGTGCAAACACTGGAATGTGGTATGGCTTGTGGTGGCTGCGATCATCATTTTTGCCGTGGTGTTGGGCATCTACCATTCATACAACTCCTGTGATGAAAAATCAGAGGGACCTGAAGGGAAGGCCAGCTGTTCTGCTGCCCATCAATCTTCCTGGTGGAACTCAGGATTTCAACATGAGCAACGCACTGAATAATAAAGGCACAACCATGTATTTATGGTACCCGAGCAAGTACGTACATTAGAACACAGTTGTTAAAGGTAGTGCTTAGTCATCCTTATGATTGTTAAATGTGATCTGTTAGACGAGTGAATTACTCCACACCATCAGGTTGGGGGATACATTGTGAACGTACCTTGCCAAAATGACAATCTGGTAAATAATCCTGTCTGTCCTCTTACTGTAAATGAGTGATAACAAATAAAGGAATATTGAATCATGATAAGGTTGTGGCAGTAATCAGCAGCCAGCAAGACACTGAAAAGAATGATTTGCACAGGACGTTGACATCTCTGCTATGATTTTGAAGAAAGTTTTAAAACCTGCATTTGCAGTTAGTGCTTTACTTTGCATTTCCTGCATTTATTGGTGATCGTTTAAGTACTAATGGCATTTAAGTCCTTTGGGTTTTAAGAGCCTAATTCGTTTTCCTTTTTCATGATTATTGGGTAGAAATTGAAGTTCTTCTATGGAAAGTTAGAATTATATTATCAGACCAAATGCCTTGCTGATAAAGTAATTTTATAAGAGGAATTATCTGTATAATTACTTGAATGGAATACTAATTACATGCAGAAATGTGTTCTATGATATAGTTTAAGAACGGAACCACCACTTTTTTTTAAAAATGGGATGCACGCCAAAAAATAAAATGAGGTCTAGGTGGCACAGTCGATACTGTCAAATAAATCTGGGAACTTCTGATATATCAAATAGACATGCTTTGCAAGAAATTTGCATATGCCCCGCAGCCTCACTACTAGACAAAAAGTAATTGTTGTCTGGAAGATGAGATGTGTTGCCCAAGCCCAAAATACAGCAGTCTTGATGCGGGAAGAAATCTTCAATTCTTTATTTAAAAAGAAAACAGAAAAAACTCTTCCAGCCTGTGTAGGCAGGCGCTCTGCCCTACCACTAGTACTGGAAATAGATATCCTTTGAGATCTGCACTAGGAACACAGTTCTGCACACAGCCAAAACCCTTCCAGTGCTTAGATGAATCAGGACATGAAAGCAGTGAGGTCTTTGAAGACGTTATTGCATGTTTTTAGCAGTTCCTTTTCAGAATCTGGTGCCAAGTATGTAACTGTTCCGATACACTTTTGAAGCTGAACTATCAGGTCATGATAGATTAATCTTTTGCCCAGATTTTTTTAGCAGTTCTGCCTATTTAGGAGTTGTGAGTTCTTAGACAAGAACATGAAAGCCTGGAACTTTTTGACAAGCAATTTCAAAATGGTGAAGCCATTGTCTGTAAAGAACCACACCACTTAAAGCTGAGACCAAACTGCGTGTCACTTGAGGCGTACCGTACGTAGCTGCTGAACATCACTTCTGATTGAAGATGAACTAGGTTTGTCTTTTCATAGCTATATGCTTGAATCTAACCACAATATCAAAATCAGTGTGACACTTGATTGCACTCGTGTCTTGCATTCTTCTGGCGTTTTCTGACTGATTAACAGGTCTGTTTATCAACAGGAAGGACAAGAATGTTACTAAGTACTGTAATTTCAGTTCAGATGAAGTTAGTAGTGTCTTGTTTTCTTTTGGTGTAAACACTGAGCCTCAAGCTAACTATCAAAGAAAACATGTTTCTAACTCAGTCAGAAATTTAATTCACTTCTCTGGCACTGGTAACAAGTATCCTGCTGGTGAATTTTGTTTCTTACATCTTTAGCCACATGTTTCTTAAGAGACATTTATATGGAGAAATTAAATAAAAATATTTTTTAAAATAATTTAAAGAAAAAGCAGACCACTACCACTTTGGGGGGGGAGGTCTATAAGGCCTTGGGAGGTGTGATTTTTATTTTAAAGTATATATTGTTGAGGAGTAGTGTGCTTAAGGAAGTTCAAAAAGGATAATGGGAAAGTGTCATTTGGTCTAAAATTGTAATTGGTAAAGAATAAGACAAAAGAAGGTTTCTTGCAAATTACTTGGTATCTGTTTGGTTCAGTTAGAATATCTGACTATGAAGAACTACTGTGACATTTCATGTACTTTCAGTATTTGAAGAAACTTGTCAGTTGCTCTTTGAATACTTTTTCATTAAAATCCGCTTCTTTAATTTAATATTTAAAGAAAAAGCAGACCACTACCACTTTGGGGGGGGAGGTCTATAAGGCCTTGGGAGGTGTGATTTTTATTTTAAAGTATATATTGTTGAGGAGTAGTGTGCTTAAGGAAGTTCAAAAAGGATAATGGGAAAGTGTCATTTGGTCTAAAATTGTAATTGGTAAAGAATAAGACAAAAGAAGGTTTCTTGCAAATTACTTGGTATCTGTTTGGTTCAGTTAGAATATCTGACTATGAAGAACTACTGTGACATTTCATGTACTTTCAGTATTTGAAGAAACTTCTCAGTTGCTCTTTGAATACTTGTTCATTAAAATCCGCTTCTTTAACTTAATATTCTTTACAACTAACAATGATAACTTAATAAGGCAATAAAAACTGAAGGTATATAGTCCTGAAGATTCAGAAACCTCTATGCCAAAAATTATGGCACATATTTGATTATGGAGTTGTGGAAATGTTGGGCTGCACTGAGGAGAACTAATTAACAATGCCTATCATTGAATTAATTCACTCTTATTTACATCTGCACTCATGGGAGTCCAACACCTTATTTTAAGTACATGTAGAAAGTTATTGATATCAATAGGACTCTTGAACTGCTTAATGTTAAGCATGTGCTAAGCTTTTTTTTGGTCAGTGGGTGAATGAGGTCTCCATCCTCTCTTGAAATTCAGTACACTGGCTTTTTGTGGACTTAGTGCACAAGGGTGAATTTCCATAAGTAATTATACTGATATAGAAGTGAATTACTTGCGTGTTTAAGGCAAGTATAATTTAGCCACAAAGTTATTAATTGTTGTAGGGAATAGACTTAAAGAGGCAAGAGTTTGTAATGGGGATGAAAAGATGAAGATAAGGTTTATTTTACAAAAAAAAATGTTGTTCTTTTTATAACTATTTTGAGCAAACTGTCCACGAAAAATAATGAACCACGATGCCTAACAGCACATTAAATATTTTTGCTTATATATTTCAGTTAGTTAATGAAGGCACCTTTTTTTTTTAATAGGAAACTAGGTTGAGCTCAAAAACTATTCTAAATGTAATTTTATCTGTTGGATGTTACTTTGCTTTATCTGGAAAAAACAATCAACTTCTGTGTTCAAAGATCACGTCAGATAACAAGAAATAGATCTATTATTTATGCTATTAACACTGAAATAGTTTTCTTGAGGTGCAATATTTATTTTTCTGCTTTAACAAGACACGTTTATTGTTTTTCCTGCACAGCACAGATGTTTCTAGTAAAAGGAGTTTTAAAAGGGCACTATTTTTGTGTATCATATTTAAATTTGTAATATTGTAAGATTTTGCACAAGTGTGCTGGTATTGTACTGTATAGTATCACATACTTGAGTTTTGAAATAAAAGTATGGTTTCAAAGTCCTCAATGTTGCTACCTTAAAGGTTTGGTTTTTTACATGCGCGCTGTCTGCATATTAATTGGTTTGTTCTTGTTAAATACATACTGCCTTGTCTGTCGTAGTGCCGTGCTACACATACCAAAGATCTTGTTCTTAGTCTTTCAGTTCTTCAGGAGAGTGATGTAGAAGAAGCAAGCAAACTACTGTTTCAATAGAGAAAGTGTTTGTAAGCAGGGTCATCCCTGTCATAGCCTAGACACAAGATGAGAGAGGAAACTGAAATATCCTGGAGAGAGTTTAACTCCTACTTCAGAGGGAGGCTGTCTGTCACTGAGGAGGTTGAACATGGAAAGCCACAAGGGAGATCTGTAACCAAAGGAGGCCGAGTGAAAGGTTAGGATTCTTTATTTGCTTTGTGTTCTCTTGTAGGCTTGGGAGGTCTGGGAAGCCTGGGCTTTGTGGAGAGCTAGCTGCCAGACCAGAGGGAAGGAGGCAATGCTCAATTGCCACAAAGAACAGAAATGTCACTGCTGAATCTCTGATGGTCTGTGTCAGGGAGAAAAGCCTTAGGACAGCAACAACCTTGAAAGGAATGACTGTTACCAGGAAAAGACTCTGATATTTGTATTTTCCACATAAACTTTTTTTAACTTGTTTCCTCCCCTGTCCTTCAGGCTTCAAGGTTGCTTTAGAAATGATTGTATAGAACAGTTAAGTCTGTTCTCCCATATCAGAGGTTTTCTGTTTAGCAATCCTGATCAGCATTTTAAAATGTGCTGACATGAGATGCTGGGAATTTTCCTTATCGGTTACTGTAAGTATTTAGGTCAAACACAAACATATAAGGCTGTTTTGGTTTTTTTTCTTTTTCACCACACAAGACCCACAAACAGGTTAAAGACCTTTTATACTGTTACAGTCCAGCTAAGTGATCTCCTACATAATTTTGGAACCGCTGAAATATAAAAAGGAAGAAACTAACCAGAAAAAAAAAATAAAGGTTAGTTCAGTCTCACTTCATCATTCTACAATTCTTTTCTCCCTCTCCTAATCTGAAGTTGGATCTTACAAAACCATGTGAAGGAGCTTATTTTTTTATTTGGTGTTACAAAGGTGTTTATCTCATTTTTCCAGCTAAAAATCCTACTAAAAATCAATAGCATGGACAGAGTTTGACTAAAGGATCTTTGCCACTGTGAGGATAATAAGCAAGAAGTGTTAAAATTTGGAAGGACAATTAGCACGCAATTTCAAAATGCCAGAAACCCAGCTTTTGATTAGTTTTTATGGTAGGAAATACTTAGCAGTTCAAGGTAAGCATGGAGACGGTAAGATTTTCTTTAATGTTCTCGGTGTTTTGCAGCCACAGTTTACTAGTCCATGAGAGCTGCACAGTAACTATTAGTTTCTGCTCCTACATTGTAAATACAAGTGAATCCACTTAGAACTTGCTTCAGTAAGTCTGATTGCAGTATTTCAGATTGCCACCACTTTGTAGAAGCAGGTAAGTACAACACAATAAAGGAGTGAATAGAAATTGGAGCAAGAAATTTGTTTTAAGACCTCAGGTAGCTTTACCAACATTCAGTTCCAAACCACAGTCCAAACTCAACTCAATTTTCATTTCTTTATTGCTAATGGAGGCATCATTTCATTAACCTACAGTGTTCTCCACTGTAGATGCCTGTCTGTGTTTCAATATATCCATAACCATGTTATATGCTGCTGTAGGGGATTGTGCCTGTGACCTGATAAAAAACTATCTTAATATATTGTTATATATATATTAACTATCTTATAGTTAATACTATCTTAATATATTGTAGGAACTTTCTACAATGCAAACCACAGTTTAAAGAGATAGCTACTATTACACTTGTGTTTACAGGACCTTGAAAACAGCCTGGGGATGTAGGACATCTAAAAGTTTACTGAATTACCAACTGAGTATGACGTAGCAAAACCATCCTGTTGCCAAAGAAGGGCTCATACTATTCTGAACTGCAAAAGCAGGTAATTTATTAATCTGTACTTGGCATTGGCAAGGCCTCAGCTGGAGAGAAAGAGTGAGCAAGCTGGGGTTTCTTAAATGAAAGAAAAGTGGAAGCAAAAAGGCGTATCTCTTTAAGTGTGTAAGATTGTTGCAAAGTGTAAGGGAATAAACTTTTTCCACATCCATTTCCAAGAGGAAAAGAAGTGGCAAATTTACAGCATGGTACGGATAAGTCAGTTTAGACTAGAGAATCCCTTTTTAACAGTAAAGGACACTGAAACACTGGAATAGAGCATTTGAGGAACTGTTAGGAATTTGTCACTGGAAATCTTTAAGATCAGGTTAGACACAGGTATTTCAGGAATAATATAAATACAGCTGATCCTACTGACAGCAAAGGGAACTAACTGATCTTTGAGATCCATTCCTGCTCTATGTTTGTTGGAATCTCTGAAAAAAAATAATTTATTCGCTAAAGCCTCCTGGAGGTTTTCTAAGTTATAGCCGTGAGGGTCATCTGTGTTTTGAATAGATCTATTGGAATCACTGTTGGTTGGAACTTCACAAAAGGCAGCAGTGAATGGACAGGTTCCCACCTCTGTCCTTACAGTCTCACAAGGAATCCCATTTGTGGTAGTGATCTCCAAATCTGTTCATAACTAGGTATCATATTATCTCTGTGTTATGGTACCTAGTTTTGCATTGGAAGTCTAAGGCAAAGGAGAGTAAAAGTACTACATCCAGACAAATAGGATAGTGAGGAGTGGATGTACTTCCAATTCCAGAAGAAAAATCCTGCCTGGCCTGTTGTGATACAATAGAGAATTCATTTTATTTACCAGATGAATAGATAACATGAGTAATGAGCTGTTAATCAGTAAAACAGGAAAAAATAGAAAAAGAAAAACCTCTTTCAAAGTGTTTACTGATGTAGCAGCCTAACAGTCTTATCTCCCTTCCTCAGCTGTGTTTTCTGAGTCAGCAGTAGTTACATTTTCCAGCAAGCCCCACATGAAAGAAAGCGTAGAGGTGATTAGGGATTTCCAGTCAATGACCTCACTTTTGAGTGGGACAGTCAACACATTTGCCGTGACATTCTTTCTATGAAGCAGTGCAGTGACAGCTAGTTACTTTCAAGAAGTCATCTCCAAGGTGGTCTGACAGTATCTGATACCTTAACTTTTCTTAGCACTGGAGACAAATCACCTTGAAATTCTTAATTTTCCAAATCCGTGACAATGGCAACTTATTTCGGAGTTACCTCAGCAGTGTTTTTTGTCTGGATTATGACTTTCATGGCTCAAAGTAACTTTGTAACAGGTATGTAAAGTTCCACTTTTTAAAGCCTCCTACTTGAATAGTAGAGTACTTGGAAAAAAAATTAGCTAGATTTGCAAACAAAAATAGGGGGAAGGAAGTTTGTGTAAATGTGTTTTTGGCATAGGAAACCACAGGGTTTTAAGAATATAGTGCAATGAAGGCTACTCTGGCTTATAGAGGAACTTGCATTGTTAGTCTAATTTATCTCCTGTTTAAATGCTACAGAGCTGCTTGTTTAAAAGATTTGCCATTGCATTTATGATTAAGTTCAGATCTATTGAAATGTGATTTTATTTTGTACTATTTAAAATACCACAGCAGACAGTTTTATACAATCCTCAGAGTGCAAAACATGCACGAAACCAGTTCTGTGTGCCTGTGTTAAAATGCTATCTCTAATGCAAAGTGGTTTGCTCTGATTTGACAATATCCTGACGCTACTTAAAATACCACAGCAAACAGTTTTATACAATCCTCAGAGTGCAAAACATGCACGAAACCAGTTCTGTGTGCCTGTGTTATAATGCTGTCTATAATGCAAAGTGGTTTGTACCTCTGAAGAGGTACAAACAGGCAATATCCTGACACTGTCTTGATTTGCAACATTGCAACAAAAATGAACATAGGGAATTGCTAGCATCAACTTTATCACACAGTTCTTAGATGACCCTCCTCCCTCAAACATTATTACATGAACCTGTTTTTTCAGAGTCATATAATACCCCTTTCTTCTATATGGTAGTGAAATTTGAATGTCTTCTCCTCCAAATTCCATAACCAGCTCGATGCAATCTGTTTTAACTGCAGTAACTACTAGGATATACTCCACATATATCAGATGTTTCCAGGTATTTCACTGTAATTTGCAAGGAGTAAATGCTTATACTCCCTATGTAAAAGAACATACACTATTGTTGCAGACAATTGATTTTCTTAACTACCGAAAGGCTTCTGAAGGAAACCCAGATTAAGTGAATTAGAGGCTCAACTCAAGTCCTATTGAGATTCCACAGGATTGGAGTCCCTAACAACACTAGTCTCCTCTGGCACTCCCAACCACTGAATAATTTTCACGGGGGAAATGGAAAGCCTGAGTCTTAAGACGATTCCTTCCAGCTGCTAGGACCCCCTTAGTTCCCCTCCGAGACTCCTCTGGGGTACCTCAGCTCATTGGTCCAAGAGCTCCAGTTAAGCTCAGGGCTGATCTCCAGCTGTGTCTCTGAGTTGCTTTGTAGAATGCCCTGTCCCCTCCTGTAAGGACTTACTGACTGGGCTTCATGGATGGACTCTGGACTTAGGTTGTAGGTAGCCTTGTCCTCGGGATGGACTTCAGGCATGCCTTATAGGATAGTACAGTCTTCTGCTGTTCCCAAACAGACTTTCTGGATGAATATTAGGAAAAAATTTTTCACTGAAAGGGTTATCAGACATTGGAATGGGCTGCCCAGGGAGGTGGTTGAGGCACCATCCCTGGAGGTGTTCAAAAGACGGGTTGATGTAGTGCTGGGAGGTCTGGTTTAGTGATGGTGATGCTTCTTGTTTGTTGTGTGGGTGTCTATTTTTGTCAGTCAGGTTGACGGTTGGACAAGATGATCTTTAAGGTCCCTTCCAACCTAGAAGATTCTGTGATTCTGTGATGTGACTCATTGTCTTGCTCTCTCTGGGGCTGCCAGTGAAACCTGCCACTGTCACCACTGTGGTCCTGTTCAGGTGCTGTAGGATTGTACCCTGGTTGGTGAGGGCAACATCTTCCCTGTGCTGCAGTTACACTTGGCTCCTGGCTCCTCTTTCCTTGTGGAACAGCCCTGTTCTTGCTGCTCCCTGACAACAGCAGCCAAAGGAAACTCTCTCTAATAAATCAGAGTGAAGGCTTGATGCAAGGCAAAGAGGTACAAACAGCTTCCCCCCAAAAGCAAGAAGAGAACTAATGCACAATAAAGCCAATACCCATGGCTTACAAAAATTGAATTATTTTCTTCCTGTCCTAGGACAACTTTGTCTTGTTGTGAGATTCTTCTGTCTAAGTCTTCCCACCTTTCTCAGTAAAACACATTTTTCACACAAGACCTAAATACTGAGGAGAATATCCCATTATTAGTAGGTTAACTAAATAGGGCAAAGCTTAAAGTACAGCTATGTGCAGCTTGTGGACCAAAAGGATGATATGCTTCTGAAGAATTAGTCTGTCTCCTGTACAAGCTCAGTCATCTTTAGAACAGAGTTCAGAGTGATTTAAGACATGATGAAAAGACTAAAAGGCTACTGTTTGCTTTCTGGATTTCTTCCTCACACTGTAAAGCCATCTGGAAATTAGATTGAAGCTGGTAACTTCCACAACATTTCTTTTACTTCACCCTTTTGTTTTAAAAGTCTTAGTGAAATCTAAGGTACAACTTTGGTCCATGTTCTACAGTCACTTTTCTTATCTGATACTGAATTTTTATATTATGCTATGCATCTATCATGCAATTCTCGTGTAGAAATATTTGTCCTGCAATTGGATGACTAAAGACTGTAGCAGTTTGCAAGTATATAGGCAGCCTTCTAAGGTTTCAGGAAATTCCATTCAATCAGCTGCTCAGCTTTATTTGAAATTTGTAAAGTTGGTCACTCAGGAACTTTCATTCTCAGCATTACATTTTTTACAAGTTGTATTAGCTCAAATCTAAAGATAGGAAAATAATTGACTAAGTAAGCAATAGGAGTAAGAATGAAGTCTGACCATAAAATGTAGTAAGAGGAGAAAGGAATTAGGCATAAACCCTAGAGGAGGAGTGGCATCTTGAAAACTAAGAAAGAGGAATTGTGGAATGTACCTCAGCAGCTGAGACAGGGAGTTACTCAGGAAACCAGAAACGGTTCTCAAGAGGACCAGGAGAGTTGCCTGTCAGCAAAAGGAAATTAAAAAAAATCTGAACACTGGAACACATGGAATAGAATTGAATAGACTGTTTCAGTTGGAAGGGACCTACAACTAGTCCAACTGCCTGACCAATTCAGGGCTGACCAAGTTAAAGCATATTGTTAAGGACATTGTCCAAATGCTTCTTAAACACTGACAGGTTTGGGTCACCAACCACCTCTCTAGGAAGCCTGTTCCAGTGTTTGATCTCTCTGACACAGAATTACGTCAGCAAAAGCAAAGACATGAAAGAGGTCATTCATGAAGACAGGCTGGCTGAAGAAGGAATTTGACAGTGTGAATCATCTTCACACTGGGACTGCTTCGTTAGGCTTGAGGTCCTTGATCCTTGACACACACATCTTCACTGAGCATCTTCATGCAATACGTTTGGGCTTGTCTTATGTTCAAGTTAGGGCTGGATGCAGCCAGTGTGTGGCTATGGGGACTGCTCACGTGTTCAGTGGCTCACCAGGCATGTGACTGGGTCTAGTCACTATCAGGAAGTCTTACTGGAAGGCCTCAGCTTCCATCACTGCTGAGATAAATCCACCTAATTCAGTGATTGCTCTACCAAAGATTTCAGTCCAATTGAACTAAATGTAAAGACAGCAGAGATGCATCATTTACCAGAAGTCATTTCCAACCCCGCCACACCCAGTGGGAGCAGGAGAAGTCTGCCTTTCTTCTAGCACTCCACACAAGCTCAGTCATCTTTTTATCCCCTTCTCATCATGGGTGTGGCTTGGCTGCTACTCCTACATTTTCATTCATAAAATTCAATTCAAGCTCTGTTGCTAAGAAGTCATGTGGTGGATCTGCAGGCATCACTTCATCCTGCCTTGAGACTTTGTGGAACACCTGTATTCTGATACATAGATTTTATGAAGTATTCACTGGTGTACATACCTGCTGAGCACACACTCTGAAAAGCATATTGAGCAAGGAGGTAACGCCTATGGCTGTTGGCTATATGAAATGCTTGCAATGAAATATTTCATTTAATATGGCAATTACTGTCAGTAGCTCAAAAAAAAAAATAATCTTTTTTTCTGGTATATGCTTCTTGTGAAATATGGAGGCAAAAGGGTAATATCCTTTCTCCTTTTTTGTGTCAAATCCTGAATTCTGTCCTGTGTCCTTAACACAAGCTGAGAAAGTAGAGCAGGTGTAATCAGACGTAAGCTGTGCATTTCCTGGTGCTGGTATGCCAGCTGTGGCTATCTAGAAATGCTGGATGAATGGCCTTTGGAGGAGGAATGGGGAAAAGCATCATAAATTCACTTGGCCAATCCCTTCTTTTTCTGTCACCCCCCAAGCACTTAGTAAATTGAACACTTGACAGTGGCTGGGGGGTGGAACCATCATGCTGAGTTAGAAAAAATAAAAATAAAAGATAAGTTTAAGGAGGAATAAGGAGGATGAAATCTTTACAGGTGTATTTTCTTATTGGTACATTAATTCCATGAAAAATTAGGTATGATACCTTTGATGGAACTCATTGGTAAGAGTGGTGTACTGACAGGATCAGTGCCTCAGCGCAACTGTTAGTTTTATCATCCTAATTAAAAAAAAAAAAAAGGGAAAAAAACCCTGTCTGATTTCTCTTCCCATCTTTCATGAATAAGTATGACAAATAAGAGTGTCTATAGTAAGAAAGTGACTCCAGATAATGACTCAAATGCGAACTGTATATGCATTTAGTCTAATAATAGCCAAAACTCTTGAAATTCTAGACTGTTGTGTTAAGAAAATGTTCTATTTTTAAAGTGCTTCTTTTTTTGCTAGAAATTAGTTTTCTACTATCCTCAATCAAGAAACTTACAACAATATTCAACTCAGTTGAACGTGATCTTAAATTCTTCATCAGGATTGAATGTTAATATTCAAATACTAACCTTCAATATTTATGTCTAAATTACAGGTTCCATTCTTCCACCTTGCAGGATCACAGGTGTAGGAATTTATCTTGAGGAGAAAGTGGAACTCTCAGAAGCAAGTAATGCATGTAATCAACTGAATCTACAATTGGCAAGCAAAGACCAAGTTGAAAAGGCTTTGAATCATGGATTTGAAACGTGCAGGTATATGACATCAGTTGGTGTCTCATGACCTTTAGTGAAAGCCTTTACACACATCTAAGGCTGCTGATAAATCTAATATTAAAAGGACCAATGCTTTTTATTGTAGCTTTGGATGGGTGAAAGATGGATTGGTTGTCATTCCTCGGATAACATCCAACAAGAAATGTGGTCAGGGCAATGTTGGACTAGTGCTATGGCGTGCTGATCCCTCTAACAAGTTTAAGGTTTACTGCTTCAATTCCTCAGGTATGTAAGCATGACAACTACGTTGTTTGTGCTTTAGTTTGGGTTTTATGATTTTTTTAATATCATATGAAAAATCAAAACAAGTGAGTTCTTATAATTTGTTGGCCCTTTTCCCCCCAACCTTAAATATTGTCAAGCTGTACTTAGCTCTGTAGGGAAAAAAAGCTGAGAGACTATGAAATTAACTAGACTCCCAATCTACTCTCAGTTAAATCAGACAGCTTCCTTAAACGTGCATCATCCTATGTGTGAAAAGACCTGTCCTTCCTCTCATTCCTGGCTGGCTTTTCCCAGACTGAAGATACAACAGTGGAACTTGGGCCTTGATATGTTAGATCTTCTCAGCACATTAGATGAATATTGATTCTTAATGACTTCTGTGGTATTAGCTAAGAGTAAGTATTTAACTTAAGGCATTGTGTTCCTACTAGTGCTCCATATCTATGGTTATTATGTAACAACTACCCCAATAATTAGACCATATACAGGATCAATAAATTATTTCTAATCCATCCCTAGATCTTGCCAATGAGTTTTAGATAACAAGAGCAAGAGATCATGTACAAAATCCTGAAATTTTTTAGGAAAGATGTGCGAACAAGGGTTGGAAAGAGCAGGAGAAAGGAGGATGTGCAAATGCCCATGCAAAGATATAAAGACCTAAGACCATGCCTGGTGACTGTGAATGTTGGAGCTTACACAGAGACTGAGGATAAAGCTGTTAGGGAGATAGGCTGTGCCTTCACCAGTGGGACTTTGTTCATGATCCTGGGCCTTTTTAGTGAAGGAAGGTAGGTAATACAAGTAATCAACTTATAAAGTATCTGTCTGCTGATAAGAAAGCACTGAAGAGAGAAAGCACCATTAAAAATTGACTTATCACCTAACCTATAAAGTTAAAAATTACATGATTGGGCTAAATTAGTTTTTCTCTACAGTCTGTAGCTTTTATTGGTGAATTAGCACTCAGGCAATGTGCTCTGAAAGAAGCTGCTTCTATTGGTACTGTTATTTCTTCTGTTCCTATGCAACATGGTGTCTCTGTGCATGAAATAATATGTCATTCTGTATCAGACATGTTGGGTAGGTTGGGTAATGCTAAGGAGGTAGCAAGTAATTCCAAATTACTTACCTTGTTTAGATTTAATTAAAAAATATATATACTGTTACAGTACATGAAGAAAGGTAAGCCTGCTGAATGCTTAGAAAATAGCTTAAAAGTCATTAATACTTAACATTTGGATGATTCTGCATTTTTTAATCTTAATTGCCAGACTGTCGCCTGTTCTAGGCATTTTTGTCCCAAAGTATTTAGCAGAGGTTCATTCTGTCAATTTTCTTTGTGCCAAAGAAATGCCAAAATCCCTTGAAAACTGTAGTGGAAAAAGTAAAAAATCCCCTACCATTTAGCTTTTTATTCTGTGAATGCAACTGCGTCATCAGACTTCCCATGGGGATTCATTTGGAGAACAGAACATACGTCGTTTCCCTGTTATTTGTGTTGTAATGTGCTTGTTACTTTAGTGAAATTATTAAAGCTTTACAGAATACAGAACTTCACTAGAAAAGAATTTTCACATTTTCACATGAGTCTGATTCAGCACTGAGCCCTTCCATTTGCATATGAAAGTCCACTTGCATCCACGTTTTTATATAGACAACATTCACATAATTTAAATGACTTAATTTCTGAGGGTCCCTTCAGTTTGTTTCTTTTTAGCCCCTGTTAGAATCATGTCATCTTATTGCATGCCTGGTTTATGCCTGGTTTACCTGAAAGTTTTATGGGCTACTTCTGTTGCCAGGAAATGGAAGTAGTGTTCCAAGTATCAACAGTGCATGCCTATGTTTGGAACATATACATACTATAATAGAAATATTTTTGAATTGTCAATCTGCAGTTAAGTCACCTGCTCTTTCAGGGGGTCATATTATTGGTGTTTATATGCATTATTATTCTAATTACTTGTGAGGAGGAATCTTGTTGTTAGTATGCAATTATAAAATGAGCACCACACCTGCTCAAAAATGTGTTTAACTATGTGAGTAATGATAAAAAATGCATAATCTGGGTTGTAGCCGTGGCTGATTTGGGTAAGGCTTTTGTGAATAAACAAATAATCGTTTCCAGAAGGGAATGACTGAGGACCAATTTCAATAAATGTGTGTACAGTAAGTACAAAACTAGTATCAAACACAACTCTTCTGTATTTCCTTTCCATGCTGCAGATGTTCAGATTAATTCATGTAAACCAGATCCAACGACAACTGTAGTACCTTCATCAACTGCACCAACGGACTTAACTGCGTATTCGGGCTCTGATTTGCCTGAGAACATCACAGCAGTGCCCAACGTGACTGAGTCAGAACAATCCCTGAAAAATACAAAATTTCGCGTAGTATGTGTAACTGAAACTATATTACCAACAGAGGGGACTACTCCGAAAATGCCAGAGGAATACTCATCAATTGACTCTCCCAACTACACTTCCCATGCTGCCTTTAAGAACGATGCCACTGTGTTTGGAGGTAAAGGCCATATATGGTAGCTATTTAATCAGAAGAGCTAGTTACGTAGATGTTAGTGGTAAAACTGTTTACTGCTATTTCTGTTTGCTGCTCCAGGATCTGTTTTGATATAGCTGAACCTGGAGGCAGAACAGGAGCGTTATGGTTTTGCAAAGCAGAGCTTATAAGGCAGAGAATTTTAAAATCATTTTAAAGTAGAAGTAACATCTTTTAAAATACTTTTTGATATTATTTGAACGTGAAATGGTGGAAGTTCATTCTAGTTAATGTGATTTGGGGTAGATACATCTCTGAGAGAGTCTTAGCAAACACCATGTGCTCAGAGTAATGGAAAACTCAGCAGACTCTTAAAAACAAAAGAAGGCAAGAAAGTTTTAAAGAGCACGTTCTCGAGATATGAGGTGTGAATAACTAATGCTAATGTATAGCAACTGAGAAATAGACTTAATGTGAGCAAAAGCGTTCTAAGGGTAACTGAGAAATAGACTTAATGTGAGCAAAAGCATTCTAAGGGTAAGGAGGATAGTTAGTCACAAAAATGTGTTCTCTAGGCAGGTTGTAAAACCCCTCCAATGAGCAGATTAGATAAACATCTGTCAGGAATTGCCTAAATACTGGGTTTAGTCTCTCTTGAAAAAATGAGCAGGAGTTACTACCCTTTTGAGATTCCTAATACCTCTATTCTTGAGTTCATGTGTATGTGCCTCTTACACTTGGCTGTTTTGAGAAGAATCTGGATTTATGCTCATGAACCTGTAGAAAGTCTTAATTTATACAAAAAGTCTATGCTTACCTCACTTTTATCTCTAGGTATCCCTACTGCACTTCTTGTACTGGCAATCACCTTCTTCATTATTTCAGTTGCTCTAGCAGTTTGCTATATCAAAAAGTAAGTTTTTTCTTTTTTTTTTTTTTTCTTTCTGTTGGACTGAGCTAATTCCTAGAGTATGACCACTGAGTATTTTAAATATATAGCTGAAGAGCAAAGATGTAACGATAGTGACATAACAATGTAGCACAAAGAACAAAATGTTTCTGTTGGACTGAGCTAATTCCTAGAGTACAACCAGTGAATATTTTAAATATAGAGCTGAAGAGCAGAGATGTAATGATAATGACATAAGTGTAGCACAAAGAACAAAATTGCAAACCCCATTGTTATGCAGATAAAGTATGTTGTTGCTGTTGCCATTGCCTGCTTTAGAAAAGGAACCAAAACCAATTATTTCCCATTTTTGCTTAGTCAATCATGCCTAGTGTGAAACACTTCCAAGTGTGCCAAAATAACAACACTGAAATGTCCATCTGTTTGTATATAAGCCCTTTGTGCCGTTTTATTCTTGTTTCTCTCTAGGTCAGACTCAAGGTAGAAGTTTTTATTCTGGGACTATGATTGTGTTCAGGAAAAAATTGCTGTTGAGCTCATTTGTCACATATAAAGATCTTCAACACGGTGCATCATTAAATCATATCAAAAAGTTGTGTGCATTTCTCACATCTTAGCCCAGATAGCTTCATTGTTATGTACCACGAATCCTGAATATATATTGTCTGTTTAAAAAAAAAATTCTTTAAAAAGCACACTGCTTGAAGAAGCACAATGATCCAGCAGCCACTATTCTCTGTGAGACTTTTGCTTGAGTATGGCAAAGAAAGTTAATTCTAGATATTTTTCACTCTATTTCTTGAATGATACTGCCAAACTATGTCAATGTTTCTAGTTAATATCCCTTTTTCTATTTAAAGGTACAAGACAACCTTCCAATTTTCAAACAAGAATCAGCAAAAAGAAGTGATTGAAACTACTGCTCTCAAAGAGGCTAAGTCGAATGACAAAGCACCAGAGAAGGAAACAAATAATGGAAAAAAGGTAGAAGAGTCTAAAACCAAGCCTGAGACCACAGTAAAATGTCTAGAAGCAGAGGTTTAAGGGGAAACATGTACCTTTTTTGATAGAAATATAAAATGATGCACACAGAATTTAGCAACGCTTTTAAACATGGGTGATTGTAAATACTCATGAGTGAATGTTCTCTATCTTAACATATGAAAACTTGTTTCTTTAATAATTACATCTTTAGCTATAAATGCTCTCGCAGAAGAACACAGTATCTTTCCTACTTGAAATAAATAAAATCCATCTTAGAGCTCATTTTTCATCTTTAATAAAGAAGTAATTAGGAATATGCTATTAACAACATGCAGTGTGTTAACTATTTGCACAGAATTCAGATCAATGTATATTGTAAAGGGTTTTTTTAATCTGGTTGGAGGGCAGTGTGTTAACTATTTGCACAGAATTCAGATCAATGTATATTGTAAAGGTTTTTTTTAATCTGGTTGGAGGATGTCTGCTAACTTAATGTCTAAAATAAAATTATGCTATCATAGCTCTTCCTCATGTAGATTAGTTTATTTCCATTAAGTAGTTGCATACTGTTTTAAAAAAGTCTGTTTACAAACAGAAGTATATATATATATATATATTTATATATATATAAACACACAGCAACGAATAACATTCTTAGGTATCTTCAACATATAATTTACTGTTTTATTTATTAAAACCTGTATCATTCTTCTGCATCAGACATTTGACGGGGGGAAAAAACCAACCTTGAACTGTATCTCAACAGTGATATTTAAGATCTTTTGTGTATATTTAAGTGTGGTGTTCATAATAAAGGTCTCAAGTGATACGGGACGTTTACAGTACTTCATAAAAAAATAAAGTGTGGTAGATATGTTTGTCTGGACAATTTATTCTCATGAAAACTGTCTCACAGTAAGAAGAGCTCAGATAACCTTGATGTTACAGAAGTAATTAGTTGTTAGAAAAGAATTTCTTGAATAAATGGTTTTGATAACTTATTTTAATATGTGCATGAGGTTATTATGGCAAAGGAAATTTCTTTTTAGATGAAGAAGCTTAAAAAACATAGTCTTAAATAGAATAACAATAGAACTGCTCACCTATATTGTGTTTTTTACAGTGTAGAATACTGGGTTATGAGCTTTCATATTTTTGATTCACAGAAATTTAAAAATTACCCAGCAGTTATATATTCCACTAGATAACTAGATAGTGAGGTTTTGTTTTCTCTCTCTCTTCTTTTTTTTTTTTTGATAGCTCAGAACTCATTTGTTTTCTCTCTCTCTTTTTTTTTTTTTGATAGCTCAGAACTGAAAAATATTTAATGGCACCAAGAGTCTGGACTGTGTTGATATGCAGTCCACCACTGCCATTAAAGCCATACTATTGAAGAAAGACTGTGATTCAATACAGCTCTAAAAACCACTAATTTATATTTAATGGCACCAAGAGTCTGGACTGTGTTGATATGCAGTCCACCACTGCCATTAAAGCCATACTATTGAAGAAAGACTGTGATTCAATACAGCTCTAAAAACCACTAATTTCAGATGTCCATCAACAGAATTTCAGCAGAAAAATGAGTAAGAGAGGAAAGCACTAGATACAGCCTTCCCATGCAGTTAAGTGATTCCTCTGCAGTGTTGCCATGTCTCTGTCCTGGCAACTTGAATGAAAGCACTGTGCCATGTGAGCAGTGAGAGCAGACAGCAGAAATGAGGTCATCAGGAAAGGCCAAAGCCAACACTTGGTCATGATGATGTCAGAACAGCAAACAGGCTTAAGGACACAGGCAACACTAGTGGATTCCAGGTAATTTTAGACTTTTTTTGTGACATGATTTCCCTTCTGCCTCTCTTTTCCATGTTTTATTGGAAATTACCTGTTTGTCTATTCTTTTTCCCCCCCGCCACCAAGAGATAATTATCTATCTTCTCTTACTCTCCTACCAATATTACCTTTATTTCACAGGTATCAATTCCCTTTTCTCTCAGATTGCCTCATTCACACCTCATTCACAACTTTGGAAAATTGTTCTCTAGTTCCACTCCACCTGGTAGCTTTTTGCTTCTATTTTAGACATAAATAATGAGTTTTTTCCCCCTGAAGTGCTTACTTTCTAAAAAATCTATACTAGTTGATTTAATAAGATATTGCCTTATCCTGTCAATTTCTTGTTTTATGATGTAACTTAAAAACTCAGATCGTTTTCACCTTCACACTGATACTTGGCCAATGTACAGTTTGAGCCTTTTATGATGTAACTTAAAAACTCAGATCGTTTTCATCTTCACACTGATACTTGGCCAATGTACATAGTTTGATCTCCCCTCCTTCCATCACACAATTTATGCCAACACTACACAGGCTAAAAGGAACTTGTTACACTGTTCTGTATGTAATAAAAGCTAGCTATAAGTACTAATCAACAAGTATTTGATAGTGCCAGTATATAATAAGTACTACTCAGTCACATTCGAATTAGCAAGTACAAAATGTTCTTGCTCATTGTTTAATAGAATTGCAAGGGAGTTAGCACTACAAAGCAAACAGGAAATGTTTATTTAAGTTCTACACAGAAATTGTCAAAAACCCAAACACTTAACTGCTAGCGGCAGAAACTTAAGAGAAATTCTTCATTAAGTTTCTGGCTTTTCTCAAGTGTCGTGCTTCTTTTTACAAGACACTCCCAATAGCCATGAAGTTCCTTGATGTCTCAGAAATTACATTATGCTCAAGTATCTTGGACAGTAAATCATTCCACCTCGCAGGAGATCACGGCTTGTATTAGTCATTTGACAGCAACACTACTCAGATTCCCACACTGAGGCAGATCACGGCTTGTATTAGTCATTTGACAGCTACTCAGATTCCCACACTGAGGTTACAGATGTTTGCTGACCTTAGGCAAAAGGGGTGCTTGGCCTGCAGGAAATAGAGCAAGGTTCCCAGTCCAGCCCAATCCCTGCCTGGAATACAGGGGTGCCTTTATCGTGGGAAGTACGTGTGTCTATGTGTGAACAGAAGTGGGCAGGAAGGGGAAGTACTACTCCTTTTCTCCTCTTTATTAAAAAAAAACAACAAACAAAAAACAACCAAAAAAACCCTCTAGAATTAAACCTTGAAGCATCAGGATGTGGATGACCTAGAGGTTGTTCCACGATTTCTGTTCCTAAATGGCTTGTTTATGGGTGTTGGGGGTTTTTTTTGTGAAAAGATCAGTAAGCGTCGGCCTTTGCATCCAGCTCTCCAGTGTCCAGCTCATTTTTTTGTGAAAAGATCAGTAAGCGTCGGCCTTTGCCGCACGCATCCAGCTCCCACATCCTCCAGCAGAGCAGAATCATAGAATCATAGAATGGTTTGGGTTGGAAGGGACCTCAAAGATCATCTAGTTCCAACCCCCCTGCCCTGGGCAGGGACACCTCCCACTAAAGGAGGTTGCTCAAGGCCCCATCCAGCCTGGCCTTGAACCCCTCCAGGGATGGGGCATCCACAACTTCCCTGGGCAACCTGTTCCAGTGTCTCACCACCCTCACTGTAAAAAATTTCTTCCTGAGATCTAATCTGAATCTTTTTTCTTCCCATTTAAAACCGTTTCCCCTTGTCCTATCATTACACCTCCTGGCAAAGAGTCCCTCC